TAATAAACTGAAAGAGGAAGCAAAAGAAATAAGCTCCTATCTATTTGGAGAATCAATCGTAAATATATATGTGCGAGCTTTGTATTCACCAAGACTAAACAAATAAAAAAAGCCAAAACTCAACCTCATATTTTAATTAAAAAAATTAAAAAAATTGAGAAATAAAATCTGAATAAAAAAAACATACCTAACAGCAAAAAATAAACAATATCATGGTTGTGTTGTTCGTCACATGCAAGCTCAAAAATCCCCTTCTGCAACTCTCAAACCTAAAGATAAAGATATCCCATTTTAGGTGTCAAGTTAAGCTTTTTTTTTTGTTTGGAAAAGGAGAAATAGTAAGACAACTCTGAAAACGAAAAGAATACAACATAAAATATGATATTCCAAACTACATTTCAGTTTCAACTTTCAATCACATGTTTCAATCACTCACCTTCGTCACTTACATATGTATGAATCAAATAAACGTTAAAAATTGAATTTAAAGGAAATTCTTTTATAGATCTATAACGGGTGTTGTTGGTTATTGATGTTGTTGAGATTCAGAGGTCTTGGTTGCGACCACCATTCTTACGCTTGAACGTCTGAAACAAATAAATTAACAGGTTAGGATGAGAATATTAGATGGTTGAAATTACAACGAAACGAAATTGGTAGCAACAAAGAGAGAAGAATGAAAAGAGATGGAGCGGCGCAGGAAGAAGATGAAATTAGGTAAGAAGATGAAATTAGGTTTTCTGATTTGTGTTTTAATAGAGTTGGGTGAATGAGTTATTTGTTGCATCTTGGGAAAAACGATTTCTTTGGTTGTATAGATTTACCGTTTCAAGAACTCAATATTTATGATGGTTGTTCATCTTGTGCTGCCAATTTAAATCTTGCAACAAAAAACGTGATTAGGGTTTAGTGGAATAATTAGAATTTCAAAACCCAGTGTACGTAGCAGCTATAATATGAGTGTTTTAATTTAAATTTCAAATTGAATGACCTTTGATTTGGATGAGGGTTTTGGGAAGTGGTATGTAGCACATAATTAGGTGTGATTATAACGTGTAAAATAAATATAAACAAAATGGCATAATTGTTGTTAGTTAGAAATAATTAAAAAAAGTAAAAAGTGGCAGAAAAAACCATAGTATGACACATCAGCCATATTTATTGTCAAATCAATATGGTGCAAGTATTTCAGAAAGTTACAAATATACCCTTAGATTAAGACTAAATTGAAATTTACTAATTAGGGTATTATGGTAAGTTAACGCCAAATAAATAAAAAATAGTGTAAAATTATGATAGATTGACATGTCAGCAAAATTAAATGCCAAATGAATATGGTAACAACATAGTGTTGATTAGTCTATTATACCCTTGGAATAAGAAAAGTTATAACATCTAATCAAAAGGTTAGACTTGGAATTTCCAGATACTTTACTTTTAATAGATTGATAATAGATAAGGTGGCCAAAAACCACCATTATATTCAAAACTAACCACCACAGTTAACCTGTTTTTTTGTCTATCATGAGTACCTGATGAATTGTGTATAAAATCCATGACAAGCTATGGAAAATTAAAACGGTCGTCACCTTCTTTCTTACTCCCTCCGTCCTAAAATAAGTGTCACAATTAAAAACAAATTGTCTAAAATTATTTTAGATTATCAATGCAATTTTATATTTAATCTTTCTATTGTATTCTCTAATAAATATTCTTAATTTATTATTTTCTCAGTTAACATTAATGTTCATTTGAATACACCAATAATTAATTAAAATATTTAGTAAAATTATTATTCTCTTTTAATTATTATTGTTTCTTAATATGTGTAAAATAATCAATTGCGACATATAATATAGAATGAAGAGAGTATTATTTTGTGAAAGGAAATAAAGAAACTTTCTAATTCTTTAATAATATTATTTTCCCTAATCAATTTTTCTCGAGTGATTTTTAGATTGTAAATACATTTATTTTTTATTAAGTATTATAATTTTAAATTTAGTGTTTCCCAATCACTTTTTTACATTTTTCTAATAGTAAGGAAAGACAAAATGAAGAGGAGATGGAGATTGTGTGTGGAATTACACATATATTTTTAGTTTTATTTTCAATAAATCTGAACCGTTTATTAAATCTAACCGTTTCTTTTTAGTGGTTCACCCGTGAATCATTTAATTGATATCTCACCTTAGACGTTACCTAATATTTAATATAATTAAATTAAAATTATACAAAAGAGCAGGCAGAGAGCAATAAGTTGCGCCATTATCTTTTTTTGGATGGAAAAATTAATCTTTTAAAAACTAAATTCATTATCCTAAGAGATACAATATTGTTATATATAAACATTTGTACTCTTTGTAAAACATCAACTCCTTCTGGTGCTTGAAAACCAAAAGTGTCAAAGACAAATGGTATAAAAGTATGTTGATTATCGGAACATGCTTTTTCATGCTTGGTCATTTTACTTGAAACGACTTTGAGAGTTGTCTGCCCCACAGTAAAACCTCATGTCCTCAGTGTTATATCCAAATTTCCCCCCCTAAGATCTCCACCATCTCATATTATCAATACACAAGATCACACATTATGGTTGGTTCTTCCTTCTACTTCATCCTATCTTTAAGTTTTCTCTTGAGGGATCACCAAACACCTTGAAATGTGTATCTTGTACATATGTTCTTTTAACTAACATCAAGATATGTATATATGTTTCTTTGGATGTTCATTGTGTAGGTGATGACACAACTGCATCCATCTAACCATCTAACCTAAGATTTTGATAGACGATCCTCAGTTAAATGGTTCTTCAATGGATTGTAAGAGCTTAGGCTTCAAGGCTATGTCTATGATATCAAAGTTTTTGATTCAAAGAGCCTCTCACTTTATTTAGGTCAAGTTTTCCTCAAGGTTGGTGGTGACATTCATCAAGAAAATTCATAGGTTCATGTGTTTATTTTCATGCCTTCTTCAATAAGATTCATTGAGACTCAAGCTCCATCTTTGAGTGTGCTTTAAAGATAACACTATTTCAAAGTCTAATGTGATCCATCATGCTCTATTTTGCAAAGAAAGTTCAAAAGATTCAAGGTTGATTCAACAAGTTTGACCTAATTGAGCAAGTCCTTGATTAAGTGATCACAAGTGCACAATTCTCTCAATTTTCAATATTTTGAGTTGGTTCTTTTTGCTATGGATTCTTATCATCATCTACAACAACTTATCTTCACATGACAATATCCAACTGTGCAAGGAAAATCATCAAACATTGAAAGGGATTCCAAGTCATTTTGACACTCTCTGAGCTAAGGTTTCTGAAATATATATTTTATTTAATTGATTGCGACGTGGAATTCACGTCGCAACTTTTTTTATAAAAAATATTTTCTGACTCCTCTTTTGTTAACGTTACTTTTCATAATTTATTATTAAAATTATGTAACGACGTGATTATCACGTCACAACCTGTCACGTGATAATCACGTCACAATTTTACTTCGTTGAAAAACATTTATTTTACGGTGTGTGTAACAGACATTTCAACGCATTTGTAATTGAAATTCAGATCCAGTCCACAAAATTATGAAGTCCTACATAAATTTGATGACATACATATTAATTGAGATATATGAGTTAAAATATGTGTTGTTGGGAGTTTTAACTTATATAATAATAGTCAAAACAGAAACATCCCCAATCAAAAGAATGATACAAGTGAGATATATTATTATTTTATTTCCCACGAGACATATATATGGTGTAGAGAGAATTTGGCACGTGTTGCAAATGAGTGGCCTCAAAAGAAAGATCAAAACAAACCTTCATTATCAAAACACATCTTCTAACCCTATAAATAGTGACCACTTCCATAGTATCAAACCATCACCATTTCTCTCATTCACCAAACTAAACTCATTTGTTTAAGAGCTAGCAAAGATGTTTTCAGGTGTAACAGGTATCATCAACAGAGGCCAAAAGCTGAAGGGAACAGTGGTTTTGATGCAAAAGAATGTGTTGGATGTTAATGCTCTAACTGCAATTAAGAGTCCTACTGGTATAGTGAGTGGTGCATTTGGTGCTATTGGTGGTGCCATTGGGACTGTTGTTGATACTGCTACTTCATTCGTTGGACGTTCTGTGGCTCTTAAGTTGATTAGTGCTACAAGTGCTGATGGTAATAACATAATAACTTCTCTCATGTTAAATAATCATCTTTATGATAAATCTATAATAATGCATTTAAGTTATAACGAGTATAATGAGCATAAACAACTTAGAAACTAGTATTTTAACTCTAAAAGATTGCAACTAAAAAGAATATCTTAAGAGTGACACTTTTGATCTCATAATGGATGTTTGTATTTGTCTAAATAATTCATTTTTAATAGTTGACATTTTTTACTTTTCATGTATTATTGATCATTTTTTTACAATTTTATCATTTAATTAACAGTTTTATGCACATCACTTTCAAACAATTAGATTTCTTATAATACTTGTAAACACATTAATACTAGCCTAGAGTAATTTGATAAAATTAGTATTTCATTTATGATGTTTATTTATGATGTTTATTTATGTGTAAAATTAACAAATATTATATATAATGTGGGACAGAAGGTAGAAGTAATTTATATTTGATTAATAATATATGAACACAAAATATTTAAAATAAAATATATTTTATTTATTTTCACATTATATATGTTTTTATGATATATGTTTTTGATCTTTATAAAATTACGATCTTTTAAATCTAATTTTTAAATCTAATTTCTATACTATGTTTAACTTATTAATCAATTTTAATACTTATTGTTTCTGTAATTAGCAACATTCCCACAGAAACAAAGAGTGTTGCTAAGAGGACCGGGGCTAGAAAGAAAACTACTTCACAATATAGGTCGTGCCTTCAGACATATATAACTTTCACAACTATTTCGCAAGGTGGTACTTCTCTTATACCCCTGGATGAAGGGATTTATGGTTCTGAAGGCATGACAGCAATTGGTAAGGAGGATTTCGAAGAAGTTTTTGGACACTTGACATTAGGCATCACTATTATCAATACATACATCATGTATACTCCAATCAACTTTGTTTAATTAATTGCAGAATTTATTTACTCATTTCAATGAATAATTAATGTTAATGATGTTTTTATTTAAGGTTTCTGTATGACAAGTTGATTCGCCCGCGTGGATTGGAGTCCAGATTCGCTTTCATAAATCCCAACGTTGTCCACGTAGGGTCAATCATCTCAAAACCATATGAAGTAATAGCATTTGTGCTCAGTTTATTTATGGCCAGCAAAGATACAGAAAAATTATTCTTTTTACCATATAATACTGGCCCCAAGTAAGATTTTCATTCTAAATTTCCTCTATTATAATTTTTCGTTTTTTAACGTTGTGCAGAAAATTTCCATCTAACCTTTGTTTAATATTCCAGTGGACACTGGTTATTGGTTGCAATTAATCCTGTGAGAGAAATTATATATTATCTGGATTCATTGGGCAATGATTGGACAACATACCCAGATATGAAGAAGACGATTGACACGTAAGTGAGATTGTTCCAAAATATTACTGTGTATATTTAATTATTTATGTGCGATAGTTCTAAATATTCGTTATTATTTTATTATAGCATTCTACAAAGTTTTCGAGCACAAAGAGATATTCAAGTACCAAGGAGTAGAGTCAACAATATTTCTTGGATCAAAATGGAGGTATAAATTTTCACAGTTTTAATTATATAGCGATGATACTTGATAAAACAAGTTAAGGTGTATATCTTGATGTATATCCGTATTTTCTTTCCATGTGTAGTGTCCTCGTCAGCGCAATGGTGTAGATTGCGGTTATTTTATGTTGAGGTTTATGAAAGAAACTATTCTTTTGGACCGATTAGAGATTCCATCCACGATATGAATTTCTAACTTAGGAATTATTTTAATATTTCTCATAAAATGACTTAGTATTTTAATTAAATCATACTATGTTATATTATTATGTAGTACTTTGATGAATTTAAGTGTGCTTCATACTCAAAAGATCAATTAGATGAACTTATGGAGGATTGGTGCCAATTTGTTATGGAGTTGAGAGTTTTATTATAAGGTATAACTTTGAGTTTTGATAATATAATATATGTCGTTATAGTTGTGTTACAATATTATTGTTTTTGTTGTTGTTATTTGGTAACTTGTATGAATTTTGATTTTTTGATTTTGTTTTAGGTTATATAGGTGCAGCTCGATGTAGAAGATAGAGTTATTTTGTAATTCATTGTTGTATATACTAATGTTGTTGTTGTGTATATTGTGCAAAAAGGATTGAAGAGATGAATATTGATGTTGTTATAATATTGTTTCATTATGGTATATTGATGTTGTTGTTGTTTAAAATATTATAATGAAGCTATAAATTCTGGTGCAAAAATGGTGAAATTAAATTTGATAGGCAGCGTTTTGTTTTAAATAAAAAAAAATTATATTTTAAAAAATAATAAGGAAAAACGCTGCTAAAGGGGGGAATAGACATCGCTTTTAATGAGAAGCGCTGTCTAAAGTGTTAGAAAAAAATAATAAGGAAAAGCCCTGCTAAAGGGGGGGGGGGGGGGGGGGGGGGGATAGACAGCGCTTTTAATGAAAGCGCTGTCTAAAGTGATTGAAAAAATATATATTAAAAAATAATAAGGAAAAGCGTTGCTAAAGGGGGGGAATAGACAGCGCTTTTATCAAGCGCTGTCTAAAGTTCCACATTAAAAGCGCTGTCTAGAGTGTAAGCGCCGCTAAAGGGGATGCTAAAGGGGGTACCTATAGCAGCGCTTTTGAAATTACATAAGCGTTGTCTATACCTTTAGCAGCGGATGTTTTAGCAGTGCTTTTAAGCGCTGTTAAAGGCCTAAAAAAGCGTTGTCTAATCCCTTGTTTAGCATAGTGACAAGAGGAAGTTGCTACTAGTGCCAAATTCCAAGCAATTCCATTGAAGTTTCTTAGAGTTGCATTCAATCCAAGGTAAGGGTGGGATTCTTGCTCTATAATTGGGTATGTGATAAATAATATGCGGGGTTGGTTATACGAAATTATCGTGTGTGATTTTGTTTGAAAGGTTGTTGTTTTGTTGCTACGACAATGTTGTATTTCCTGATAAAGTTGCAGAAATTCAATTGATGACTCTATGGTTGGAGAATTATTTTATATTGATGTTGGTGTATTTGTGGTAATTGATATATGTTGATAGCAATGATAACTGGATGTTTGATTGTGTATTATTTCATGAAGTTTGTGTCTTTGGAATTGAAACAAATGGGTTTTCATACTGCACCTTACAAAATTCATAAAATTGTTTTTCACAGGGTGCAATCGATTTTAGCAGAAGAGCAATCGATTGCATTGCTTAAAAATTATGATTTTTGCTTCTGTTTCAGTAAGCAATCGATTGCAACAGAAGAGCAATCGATTACACTGCTTAAAAATGTGATATTTTGCCTCTGGAACAAGGTGCAATTGATTTGCATGTTAGTGCAATCGATTGCTCACTGTTTGACATTATTTTTGAAAACTTGAAAACTTGAAAACTCCATAACTTTTGAATTGTAACTCTGTTTGATGTGCCGTTCAAAGTGTTGAAAAGTTAATGGGATGAACTATATTTATAAGGAGTAAAATAAAGGATAAGAAGGATAATTCTAGTACCCAAGTAAGGATAGAGTTGGCTTTCCCGCGTTGAACCGCCATGATGTTTTGTGGTGATGAAGTATGATGATGACATGACGATCTTATGATAATGCTTGGTTTATAATAATAATATCAATGATAATGATGATGTAGTATTATAGTATAACAATTTGTAGAAGTTTGTAATTATAAATAAGCATTTAGATAAGTAATTAACCGGTATAGTCGAGAATTGTCAGAATAATTATGGGCAATATTATGTTGTAGGCCTGTGGCTAATGTCGAATGGTTGTTGACATGTTGTTGTGATATTGTTGTTGTGACTTACTAAGTTGTAGGCTTATGCCAACGTTGTGTTAATTGTCGTTGTTGAAATATCAAGTTGTAGGCTTATGGCCAAAGTTGAATTATGTTGAGTTGTTGTGATTTTCGCTGTGAATTCTTGTTGATAATGTGAAGTTGCAGAGAATTCTAGATGATGATGAATTACCTCTATTTACTGGTAACAATGGTAATGTAGGATTATGCCTTGCGATGAATGATGAATTGTTGTTAATTACGTTGATAACGTTGTAGGCCTATGGCCAGTGAAGTAGTGATATATGCGTATGCCTCATGAAGTGTTTAATGATGTTGTTGCATGTGTTGTATATTCATACATTTGCATTTGTGAAGGCCTATATTGGTGGATTTTGTGAAGGCCTGTATTGGTGGATTTTGTGAAGTCCTGTATTGGCAAAATGATTTGTGAAGAAGGCTTATGCCTTGTGCCTCGAGATTACTGGCAAATGTTTTTAAGTTGGAAGTTCTGCTCCAGTGGTACCACATGCATGTGCATTGTAATTGAGTCGCATTTGATATTGCATCTTGAGTCGTGGTGAAGATAGATTTGTTGTTGCTTTATGTTGTTGACTTGTTGTGACACATGTCATCTAAAGGTTGTGAATTAGTTATTATGTCGTGTTGATGTTTTGCTGAGATTAAAGATGTTTGAAAGTTATGAAGTGGTGATTTTATATAAACTGATTCTGATATATTAATTATCATACATTCAATTATATAGTTCGATATCTCATCCCTTCTGTTTGAATATTGCCCTCTGTTGGTAATGTGCAGGTAATCAAGAAGATTAGTCGTTACCCTCGTCAGTATCGGGTCGGTGTCGTCGCTCTGATACGTAGCACTCGGGGGGGGGGGGGGGGGGGATGAACGCCTGATGTTTAGTTGTTGATTATTATTTCTGTTGCTGAATCTTTAAGTTGTTTACATGAAGTAACTGTTGTCTTGAAGTTGCTTTAGTTGAATAAATATGTTAAGTGAATTGAAGTTGAATATGTATATTCTGCTGCTTATCAATAAAAAGTTGTTTGATTTTAAAGAATAAATCAGGTTGTTATCGGTTCATCCGAATTAAGTATTATGTATCTGTTTTATATGCGATTAAATGAAGTTTGATTTCAAGTTAAAAAATGTAGCATCCTATTTATGTTGAACTCTAATTTTATTATTATCCGCCAGGTAGAAATGGGATGTCACAATAGTGATATCAGAGCAGGTCGGTCCATCCGAACATGTTGCCTAATGTTGTTTGTTCCTTAGTGCGCGACAAGTGTGTGAAACACTGTCGGTGCTTGTTGTTTTTCTAATCATGTTGTATGCAGGAGTTGGGTTGAAGATAAGTGGCGGAGAAGCTTTGCTTCTCGGATATGTTTCGGTTGTAAGATGTTAGTTCTGTATGATGTTGATGGTGACAATGCAAGTGTTGTTGAGCGTTGGTGTCTCATCGATAAAATCGAATGAGAGGGAAATTGTGGAAGTATTTGTAAACCTCATTGGAAATTATTAGATTATGGTGCGTTAGGTGACTTGAGTACAAGTTCTAAAGGAACACTATTATAGTTCGGTAACGATGGTTTATACTTCATTATGGTTGTCGGTTATATATTGACAAATTGAGGAACTGATCACCCTTAATCTCTTGTTGATAGTAGATGAGACCGTGTTGGATGGTGTAGACTTGTTGGCTACCTTAATGGTGTGTAAAGTGATTGATGTTATATCGTGAGGATAGTTTCTCACCAGGTTGTGTGAATTAGTAGAGGAGTGGCTAAGAAAGAGTTGAGACATGTTGAACAAGTCGGAGTGACAAGTTATATGTGAGCTAACATCGCAAAGTGAAAGATTGAGAATATCAATTGAACAATGGTTTTATGGTGGATGTTGAGGAAAGTTTGAAACTGAAATGAGACTTGTAAGCTGTATAGTTGGCAGAAACTTTAATGAGGACGATGACTTGAGATGGATTATCAGAGTTGCGCAACTGAAGCGTATGTGGTGCAGTTTCTATGAGTATACGACTCTACATGCTTGATTTGGTGGATTGTTGATATAGGGATGATGTGCCAGGGTACTATGTTTGTTAGTCAATAATTCCAGATCTTATAAGAAGATTGTTGTGGATTGTTGGTTAATGGTGAGCTATGGGTATGCTTGCTGAGTTATACAGTTAAGTTGATGTTGCAATGATTTCGTTGTCTCTATTGAGATGTTATTGTTGATTTCCGTAAGTAAGGAATGATACTCCATAACGTGACAGAGTTGATTATGTTGGTTGTGTGGATGTCACTATAAGAGTGATACGACGATATGAGTAGAGTGGTTGATATTTTGTTGATAATTGACATACAGAGATGAAATTGTGTATGTGTTTTGGTGTTGAAAAGAGTGTTAAGAGGATATTACAATGGTATATATATCCAAGTATAAGTGTGTTATAGTTGTTGCTACTTTAAATATTGATATGTCAGATTATGGTAGAGTAGTTGAGATGCTAGTACCGATTATGTCGCGAAGTGTTGAATGATTAACATGTGAGTAATCGATTTGAATTGTGTTGAGTAATTGAGTTATTAGGAAAGTAGTGGTCGAAGTGTTGCCAGACGCGACTTGGATGCGAAACTCGTACTAAGAGTGGTAGTATCGAATAGATTTTCGAGGACAAAAATATTCTAAGTGGGGGAGAGTTGTAATGCTCGTTAATTTGATTAATTATTTAATTAAGTTATATTTTAGATTATTTGTGATGTTCCGAAGTGTTAAGAATTATTGGTAAAAGTTGTTGGATTATTATCAATTAATTAATTAGTTGATTAATAATAATTCTTATGTTGGGATTAATGAAATATTATAGTATTAATTTATTAGAAATAAGAATAGAATTAGTTGGGTTTAATTAAACGGTTGTATGAA